AAAAGGCACTACTTCCGTTTCATCTTCGAGAATTATCGACTTTCTCATAATCGAGATAATGCATAAAATTGTTGACTGAATTTTTAATTTCCCGAATAACTTTGATGGTTGTAATTTAGTGGCTTGACTGAGAAATCGAATACGAATACGCAATCGTAAAAATAAATTACTTACCTTGCGTCGTAGGTAAACCATATTGAATATTTACTTGAAGAGACAGAAAAGAAGAAAGCTCTCAATAAAGGACACGCGATTGTAGCAATTTGTTTACGCTGCTTCGAGTATCCGCGCAGTTCATTCTACGTACTGATCGCTCCGTTCTTGTACTTCTTTTTACTCTTTCCTTTCCCCGCAGGATTGTCGAATATCATTCAATTTCGAATTGAAGAAACAAAGTAAACATCAAATGGACAACAATATCGTTCACGTTAAATATTATAGTTGATTGTAATGTATATCTCCACAGACAATAAGAAACGTAGAAAGAATTTTGGAAAAGCAGAGAGCCCGTTTTCAATGCCTTAAATTAAATGGTCTACTAACTCGAACAACGATGGAGGCCGAACAATTGTTGAGTATTGGGGAAAACGAGCGTATTTATTTAGGTGAAATTTTCATTCGTTCGTTCGTTTGTTTGTTCACTCACTCGCTCGCTCACTCGTTCGTTCACTAATTACTGATTCGGTCGCCCAATCATGAATACAGCATGCTCGAATTAAGCGCACGTCAGTTAATATTTTATTTATCAGTAAAGAATAAGGGGGAGAGAAAGAGAAAATGACAAACACATTGTGGAGGGAGGAATAGAGTGTGTGTGAGAGAGAGAGAGAGAGAGAGAGAGAGAGAGAGAGAGAACAGACACAGAGAGAGACAGGAACATGACTTCTACGAACCAGCGTCCCTCCTTTTCTTCCCAATCGCTTGTCAAATGATAATATAACGACGAGAGGAGACAGGAAGGAGTAAACGATAATTTGATGTGTATAAGAAGGAGATGTCAAAATAACACCGGCATCGCATGATCGTTCGAGAAAGGGGAGGAAAATTACGTCAAGACACACATGCTCGCTCGCGCGACCAAGGAGTTAAAAACATGTTGATAATCGCACGTTTCCCTCCGCGTCTGATAAGTGTAGACAGAGAAGCAGCATGCGCATTGTTATTTACAAGAACGCTTATTCGATTCTCAAAAATTTACAACCGTCATAAATATTGATTTGGAGGCGTGGTATGCTCTACGTAATATTTGAAAGACGTAATATTTGATTTTTACTGCGACGTGAGAGAAAAATGATTACAAGAAAAATGATATTATAACTTCTTAATGAGGACAGGCAAGTTACAAAAGCATTATATCGAAATTTTGGATGTAAAGTAAAGTTAAGACATTGTATGACATCAACTTACATCGTAACAAATATCAATTGTATATGAATACAAATGAAGCAATGAAAGAATTATAAAAGAATTTATCCTTTTATGGAATAGAAAAAAAATTGCGACTACTAAAAATTGTTTGTTACAATTAGACAGATAACAAACAATGTTATAGTTACGTCACACAATTATAGTGACATACGTGCGAATATCCGCTTTATCATAAATATGTCACAGTAATGTCATGCTGATATATGTGCAAATGCTGCTTTACAACATGTATTATTTTGTTATGACAATCTCACATCTCACATTGCAATGATCATCATATTTTTCTTCTTGACTATATTTGTGACTCTATTGTGACGTGAATATGACTCTTTGTTATGAGGGGAGGCTCCGACAGGAACCTAAAAATTAATTTTCCTTCCCCTCCCGCCCTCCACCCCCCTCTTCTCCTACGCTACAAGTAGGAAATTTCGATATCAATGGCCCAGTTTCCACCGAGGATTTAAACCGGATCAGAATGTAAGAATCAACCAACTACAGTCGAGTATTCCCTTGTTACAGTCGAACGACAAGGGAATGCTAGACTGTAGTTGGTTGGTTCTTACATTTTGATCCGGTTTAAACTCTCGGTGGAAACTAGGCCAATGATTTATATGAGAGATACTAAAGTACTATAAAAAATAACAATCCAATAAAATTCACTTTAATCGTAAAAAGCCGATGTATCAGTCTCCGCGCGGTCTAAGGTTAAGCAATCTACATTTAGTGACGTACTTATTTATGATAGGCCGATTTGTGAATCCTTCCTTTCGCAAGGTAACAATATTGTTTATATGTAATAACGCAATAGCGCATCGATTGAAGTGCTACGTTTCTATCTAAATACATTTATAATACTGCATGGATATTCTAATCATAGAAAAAAGAATTCTATGATTAATAAAAAAATATAATTTTTTAAAAAGTAAGAAAAAGAGTTCCACTTAAATGAAACATTTATTTCTTTAATTGGTTCGACAAAAAACTATTTTTTTTAGCAAGGACACAGTGTAACATAACACAATGAATCATTACATTCTTGTTGTTTACCAACAGAAAAACGCTGTCTCACATCAATAATATGTATTGTGTAAACCATGACGTATGTCCTCTGACAAAAAAAGGACCTTGCATATTTCTTATGGATTTTGGTTCTCGATTAAATCTCATATTCTAGGTTCTTATAGTTTCGCAGTCCTGATTAAGGGCCGGTTGTTCCTTTTGGTAAATTTTATCTGTTGGATAAGCAGCAAGATTATTCAATCACATGCACGATTACCAAATTTATCTCACAGGTAAAATTTACCAAAAGATGGAACAACCGGCCCTAAGTGTCAATATTAAGTCGTAGAAAAGTGATCAATCATAGTCGAGTATTCTTCTCGAGATTGATTAATTTTCTACGACTTAAGATTATTGTAGACCCCACTTTATATAATAAAGCTGCAAGTCGTAAGAAATTAACCAGTCGTTGGCCGGTATTCATAGGTTCGGATTTACAATAGATATTTTAATCAATCAATTTTTACGACCTTCAGTCGTAAAAAATTGAGAAATTGACCAACCACAGTTAAATGCGAAGAGAATAATTGATTGTGATTCGTCCATTCTTTGTGGAGTAGTCGGATCTTATATTTAAGATCATCTTAAGTACAATTTTAAGATGTCATGAATTAATCAGAGGGTTGTATTAGCGACTTAAGATGATCTTAAAATAAAACTAGTGGCTTCTGCATATTGGACGCGGAAACGCTTACCGTACGACAAAATGAGGTAACTAATGAACACATTAAGAGCTGTAAGCTTATTGGTTATCGCATCACATTTTGCTGCGCGGCAAGCGTTTCCACATTCAGTGTGCAGAAGCCATATGACTACCGGCCGTATTCAATTATTTTTTTTATATTCGTCTATGAATGGTCAATTTCTTACTGCTTAGGATATATCCACATAAACTTGCATAGCCACATAAACGTATGCATAAAGAAAATTATTAATTATATTAATATTAATTATTTATATATAAAATCGCATTTTTCCTATAAAGACGCACGTAAGATGATTTACATAAATGTGATAATGACTCTTAGGATGAAATCACACGGTGCAGAAAAGAGAATGCGTCATAGAAGTAACCAATCGCAGCGTTATTCCGAATAGCGCTGATTAGTTGCTTCTATGACGCATTCTCTTTTCTGCACCATGTGATTCTCTATTCCGCAACCCTTTTTCGCACCATGTGATTTCATCCTAAGCGTCGTGCAACTTTGAAATTTGCTTAGTTTACATCGTGCACTTGATGTGGATACCAACTAGCAACTTTCTATTGAATTATCTTAATTTCGGCGATACGTGTAAACATATACATGAGATGTGCATTTAATTAATCATTTTAATGCATGTTGTACCAATGTAGTAAAATATTCTTTGAATTACATCGATGAAATTAAAATAATTCAAAAGAAAATTACATGTAAACGTATACAACCGGTCACAAAAAAATTATAACACTCAGCGATGTTCTTATTTGTGGATCCATGAAGAAGAACTAATCGCTCGGTGAGTAAGCTGTATTCCGAAATCCGACGAGATATTATTAAAGACCGACATCTTTACGGAAGTTCACGTTCTTGTGAATATTGAAGTGATTGAGAGTTAAAAACTGATAATATTACACTAATTTTATGATTTATTAATTTAGTAGACGTATTTATGCATTTTGAACTCAATAATTGCAGAGAAAAAATTGTAATTTTTTTTTACAATATATAAGATATTACAGTTTTACAAGTATGCATATTTATTTATGGAACATTTATGTAATAAAAAATCATTAATTTAATAATATATGAGGCAAATATTTATTATTTATGCTAATAATAGCTAATAATAATAAATTTATAATATATTAATTGTCGATAATGTCAGCATTCTTTAATCCGGACCCTTTTTACATCGCCGAAAATTTGCCCAAGGTTGACGGTCTTTAATAGTATCTCGTCGGTGACAACAGCGATTGGTCGCGCCATATTCTTTTCTAGCCAATGAGAATGGAGACATCATTGGCCGGACTCTTATTTCACCGGACCCTTAACCGAGGCTACGATCTCACTACAGGAAAGTCTCACTACAAATGCTTTAAAGCGTTTGGTTGACCAATTGGAAAAAAGAATTTTACAAATTGACCAATCAAAAATTGATTTATAGCATCGCGTAGACCGTACCCCGAACCGACTTCATGATAGGCTGATAAGAGCCAATGGGTGTATTCAGTATTATGACCGCTCATTGAGCGCTCAGTGAGCTCTTGTATCTGTTTGGTCTATATTTTTAAATCTAATGGAATATACCAATCAAAGGCAAAAGCTTACTGAGCGCTTAGTGAGCGGTCATGTAGTACTGAATGCAGTCATTAGGGTGAAATTACACAGTACGGAAATCAACAGCCAATCATGGGAAAGACATGGGATAGAAAAATGCGAAAGAGCGCTGATTGGCTGTTCGAATCACGCATCCTCTGTCCCGCATGCTGATTTCCGTACCGTGTGATTTCATCCTTAGACAGCATGCATATTTATCTCGTATACTGACAGACTTTTTTGTCACTTGTGTCTATGACACATTTCCTAACCTGAATCGTGGTCATCAAGTTTAACAATTAATATCTCAGTCCACGGGGCAGAACAATGCTTTTTTCTGTTAGATTCATTTATTTCGCGCGAAAACGCGTCGAATGAGGCTAATCTCATCAAAATCGGTGAGGAAGACAGAATTCTTGAGTATTTAATCTGAAAATGCATTAATTAGTATATTTTTATCAATTTTTGTGATTGTGTGTGCCAAATTGAACGAATACCCACAACTGAATGAAGAGCGTTCTCTCAAGGATTACTCGGGCTAAACAAGTGGTCACGCGCCGCTATTTATGCCTGACCACAATGGCTAAGAGCAAGTTCGAGTATGTGAAGGGATTTGAAAGGGACGACAACTGCTTGCCAAATTGCTGGATTGTGATTAGAATAGATGGCAGGAATTTTTCGAGATTTTGTGATACACACCAGTTTGTCAAACCGAATGATGTGGCTGCTCTCGAATTAATGAATCGTGCTGCTATTACTGTTATGGAGGACTTTAAAGAGATTATATTGGGTTTTGGTCAGAGCGACGAATATTCGTTTGTGTTCCGGAAAGATACACAGCTTTACAAACGCAGAGGTATATTCATCGTGTGCCTTGACAATGTGAGATTTGTCTGATATAGAATCACAGTATTAATTCATTTTTGCCTGCGTACAGTTACAAATGTTTCATTCTTTACTGTTAATTACATAATTATTTTTTATTTTAGAATTTGTATCTCGATGACGTTAGCAATTAATTTTCGAGTTTTTTAATTATATTTCGTACTGCATTATTTTAGCCTATTATTGAATATTATAAATTTACAATATTAACTAATTTTTAAGTGTTTTAAACACTTGTTTACTATTCTATAATTGAATCATTATTATGTCATCAACATAAGCTGCGATTGTTTTGAGTGCTCACATGCTGTGTGTGTAAGTTTCATTTTGCCTTTTTTATCTGTATCATTTATTATATATGTGGAAAAAAATAGAATGACGCTTACAGTGCATAAGCCACAAGTGTGGCATGAGCACTCAAACCAAATGCAACCGTAGTACTAAATGAAGCATAGAATTGAAACCACCTTGATAGACCTCGACAGAAAGAGTATGAAAGACGTAGAGGTAATAACAGATAGGAGTAGTAATTAGTCATGTAATTAAGAGTCATGAATAACTTTACTTAAGTTGAGAAATGTTTCTTTTTAAGATTTTAACTTTTTTTTTATTAAAGTAACGCTTATGTTTAATAAATCAAATAATTAAAAGGGCTCATAACCAATTTATGATATTATTTCTATATGTACAGCATCGTTGCTGATATTGACTATACTGTACTATATATTCCATCTTTTTTCATGAGACCAAGAAGTATATAATTTTAACCGGAATACTCTGATTCAAATTATAAATATTTTCCCTATTGATCAATGTAATATATTACATTTTCAATAAATGTATCGCACTTATTTTCCAAATCCATCTACTTTTGATAATAAAGATTTTTGTGACCGATAAAATTTGTTATTTTTTCAGACACAATATTATACGTTAACTTTAAATCTTCTTATCCACGTTTCTGAAACTGAATCCTGGTACATTTTCTTTTTTTTTTGTGCTCGAGAAGTTTAGCTCGATAGCAATATCTATATCATCAATAATTGTGCTATTTTTAAACGCTTCATTAAAAATTTAATGTATATTCAAAAATTTATTTTAACTTTTTAAATCTGTTACCACTTTCATTTGGTCCTTAAGCGTCGAATCGATGTAACTTTCTTGTATTTTTGTTTAACTCCTTAAAGCGATCTTGGTTTTGTTTTATCACTTTTCTAGTGTTCCACAGCTATTAAAATATTTAACTAGAACTTTGAATATACAGAATGTGTAAAGAGTATCAGGACGGCAAAATATCTCGAAAACTAAGCATTTTAGAAAAAAAACTGTTTCAGATAAATTGTAGGGTTTCAAAAGATCTATTTACTGGCGCTATGAGTTTGATCTTGGCTGGCGACACCAAGGTCAGGTCAAGGTCACATTGATTTTTTCATTCTTTAGTAAATAGAACACCCTATTTTTCATTCTAGAATTTAATAGCTGCTGTCAAGAGCTTTTTAAAACACTATAATAAAGTTTATTTTTATTAAGTACTTGTCGAGTTAGGCTTGAAAATTACAGTATCGCCGATATTAGCATTACCCGAGATGTTCGATCGATGGCATTTTTTTTTGTATGTTTGTTTCAGCGTCAAAATTGATGTCTAATGTGAATTCATTATTTGCTTCGGCATACGTTTATCACTGGTCACATTTCTTCAGAAGCAAAGAATTGTATTACCCACCGTCATTTGATGCTCGTGTTATATTATATCCAACAGACAAGAATTTAAGGGATTATTTAGCTTGGCGACAGGCTGACGTACACATCAATAACTTATATAACACTTGTTTTTGGAATCTTATTTTGAAAGGAAAATTAACTCCGAGTCAGGTAAACATAAATAATAATCTAGGATTTTTAAATCAGTATAAGGCATATTTCAAACATAGGAGCCAACTGCTGATAAAAAAAAGATA